ACCTGTGTCTCCCTCAGCCCCTTCCCGGTCCGCCATGTCCTCAAACCGGATGTTGTTGATGATGACGGCCACCCCGCGGGGGTCACAGCTCATCTCGTACGGATTGCTGAGGTCATGGGTTGCAGAGATCTGCTCCCTCATCCGTTCATTCTCTCTCTTCTCAGCTTCTAACTCGTCCTTAAGATGACTGTTTGCTTCTTCCAGCCTTTGACTCAGGTTGAATGAGATATTTTTGGCTTCTGTTTCCCGTCTGAGTGCAGCTTGTAGGCTTTCATTTACAGTTTCCACCTGCTGCAGTTGCTCTTCTTTCCTCCTCAGTTCTTCATCAATTGTCTTCTTGTCAGCTTCTGCTTGGTTCTTCAGATGAACCTTGGCTTCTTCCAGCTTCCGACTCTTGGTGAGTGCGCTTCTCTTGGCTTCCGATTCACGACTGAACGCAGATTTTAGGCATTCTTTTTCTTTCGTCACATCTTGGAGTTGCTGTTCTTTGCTCTGCAGGTTTTGCTTGACGGTCTTAAGTTGTCGCTGAAGCTGATACACCTGGCTATGTTGGGTTGTCACGTCTTCTTTGGGCGACAACAGGGGCTCAAGACTACTTACTTGCAGCCCTGTCTCTTTCAACAGTCGACCCTCGTTTGCGAGAACCCTGGCAGCCACTAAATGGACGATATGTAAAAAGAATGATGAGGTTGATAACATAAATCATGAAAGTTCTTTGTATTGTATTGATGATTCCATTTGGAAGGGAACCATGTTTAGGAGGGGGTTCCATAATTTTACTAGCCTGGTTACCATTCCTATTATAGCTCCCGAGTCCTACATCCTCTTGCGAAGAGGATGTAGGACTCGGGAGCTATAATAGGTTTGGTAACCAGGCTATAATTTTACAGTCCGTGGGAAAGAAATTCTTTTCTCTTTCAACAGTGGAAACAAGTTATATTTCCTGACAGGTCCGTGTGAAGTCGTGTATTAAAGTATATCTTACGAACATTATCGTTACTTGATGAATGGATTGAGAGTGTAAATTGAAAAGGCAAGCAGACCAATGGAAACCTTGATAGACCTGTTATAGTAGCATTATCAGGAAGAACTTTGTTGCACGCACATGATATAATGTTACGATGGCAAAGTACAAAAAACAATAATAATGTAGTTCTTTTGTACACTTGAAAGTACATGTGTGTGTACTTACACTGTGGCGAAGAGAACTCGGCCAGAGCAGTTCTTATTTCCGGAAACTTGACCAGTCGTTTCGTCTGATTACGAAACACATGTACGAAGAAGCTCGAGCTCGCACCACCCGGAAACCCACTCATTACAAGGCACGCGTCTGGATCCATGTCGATTGTAATCTGGCATCTACCTGCAGTATGAAAAAAATGTTTCTAATTAGTGGCCAAGTCGAAACAGTACAAGGCGATAATTGTTTACACTAAAGCACTTCTATGTAAGCATGAAAGTTCATCTGTGTTGGTACACTTCATTATGACCAAAAGGACTAAACTTTCTATCCAACACCAAGTATATTGGGACTTACCCAAATTTTCGACCTACTCCATCAGCCTTCTATGTAAATTTACATTCACCAGCATATCAAGCACAAGGTACTTGTACCATAACCTAAGTACATAGGCCTTACAACATTAGTCACCTGAGCTTCGAAAATATCCCACTTAAATTATTCGTGCATTTCCTCTAGCTTTGGATTTATTTAACCTGTGCTCATTTATTTGTTTGACAGGAGATCCCCCCCACATCCTCTCAATCTGGGCGTTTGTTACTCACTCCGTCCCTTGTTACTCAATGCCCGAGATGGGTTAGACAAGACAGAGTCTGAAGTGTGAATATGTACAATTTAACGACCAGATCATAAAAGCATGCATTTACCTGATTCATTCACGTGGTCAGGCGGTAGAGACAGAGACGAGAAGAGTTTCCTTAGGGCTAACCCAACGTCCTTTCCTCCCAAGCCTGCTTTGTTTTCATTAGGAGGAAACACGGCTGACAGCCCTCTCACCTCCTGCAGCAGTGCCTCGTTTGCCAGCACGTCGGCGGCGCCTTCAGGAACGATATCGATATGTCACACAGACAATGAAATGAAACGAAATACCTTTATAATAGTCTCCAATTTCTGTGGGATGAATGATGACAGAAATTGACCAAATATATTAAAGCCTCAGGATACTTTGTTTGTTAGCCGGCTACAGAGCCCGACAGTTTGTTTACCGTCTGGCGTGATAGAACATCCCTCAAATATTCACGTCCTACCAAGGACATTCTGATGGACGTTTCTTGGTTCTATTATAAATACTAACCTCTGAGCTGATACAAACATAAATGTACGCACCTTCTGGCGTCTCGAACTCTACCAGGGCTACCAGCGCAGCTCCGGTTTTTGAGAACGTGACCAGTCGCTCTATCCGAGAGTTACCGTGCGCAGTCTGGAAATGTTCCATCAGCTTCTGTCTGTTTGCACGAGTTGGCAGCCCGCTCACGACAACACATGCGCTGGGGTCCATGGAGTAGACAAACATCTTGTTTCGTGTTCACCTGACCATTTAGGACGCATTAAAGGCTACCTTTAAGGCTAGTTGTGACTTTTAACAGTAAAGGTGTGTGGTCAAAGTCCACAGACAAAGTAAGTCGTCCTGTAGTACATAAATCCAAGCAGGAGAATGTTACTGGCGTTTTACCGGTGAAACTAAAATGGCTGCCAGCCCAGGGGTGTGGGGAGGAGGGAGGGGATTCCCCCTGGGATTTCCCTATAGCTAGCGGACGTTGACCTTTGAACTTCTTTTGTTTATTTATTTGCAATTTCTGCAAAACACACAATGCACCACAGTGAGTTGCATCGTGCAATGCACATAAGGCCAAGGTTAAGAGCTATCGGAGGTAGTCCTGGCCTACGATGTCACAAGTAACAATTGGTATTATATCCAGAACCGTGCCTATGTAATTGTATACCTGAATGGGCTATTTTAAGATCAGGCACGGTAAATTATTGTTCTAGCTTATAAGTCTCCGCGTATCCAAGAACGCAGATTTGCCACAGGCACGGTTCGGGACACGCATGGACTATCCAGAACCGTGTCTGAGCATGGTTTTGGATAAAGCCACGATTCACGATTCACGATTCTGGATGTTTGGACTTGAACCTTTGTAGGCATAGAGGAAGTCGCAGGGCAGAATAGCGCCACCAAGCGGCGGATGGAGGAAAGGCTCAAGGCGCTCGCCGAGAAGTTTCCGAACGTCGTGGGAAACGTGCAGCAGGCGATATCCGCTTCTTTGTTGGTATTTTGGCCTTAATTGTATATTAAGATGATATAAAATTAGAAATATGTTAGATTTGGTTGTATTTTCAATAAAATGAAATAAATGATTGAATATATTTATTTCTTTTTGAGCTCTCTATTTAGTGTCATGTGTAGGTTTTTCCTACAGATTCGGTAAAGAAAATACAGGGAAGTTTGTTCCATTTGAATAAAATGCAGCCCCTTTTCACGAAAATTTGATCAATATTTTCAATGTCGATATGGCAATATAGATAGATAGGTAGGTAGTGCAAAATACACTATATACTATTGTATGTTTACTGTTACAATAGTCTGTCATTAGATTTGATAACGACATAGTTAATTTTTTTTTATATACGATACTCCTAAATTTTATTCTAAAACAAATGAGGTCGATGATTTTTATTGAGTCTAAATAAAAAAAAATTAAACTTCACCTATATACATACTACAAAGATATTCCAAATAAAGTTCTGTCAGTAAGCATCGATTCAGATGATTTTATTTTGTGATCAGTGATAAAAAGCTGTCTAAAAACCACTATTTCATCAATTTTATGCAACAATCAACAGAATATAGTATACTTGTATGCATATTTTTCTTGCTAATAGTTACTCAATACCAATGCATACCCCTGCCCCCATGGAATTTATTACGTAGTAATCAAGAGACTAAGTAACTATTGAATTTCTACGTATTGTGCGAATTTCATAGGTTTTATGCAAATTCTGACAATAAACCGAATATAGGATAATTGTACACAGAATTTGCCTGATTTTAGTAAAAAGTTGACGATTATAATCAAATATAATCACAATTCTAAAGTCACAAACTTTAAACGAGTAAACCTCGTTTTCTATATGTAATCAAAGTATAAAAAAGTATAACCTCAAAACTAGTGCATTTGGTCCTCCAGGAAAGTCCAATATCCTATCTATACATATCTACTAGTTTTATCAAAGTAAAACATTTAACCATAAATCCATAAACTGGGTAACCCTGAGAACAATAGTGTCACTTTGGGCTCATTTAATTTTTTTATGTGTTTTATGTTAACAACTTTTTATGACAACTTTTTATACACGGTCCGTACACGCGCGGGCAAAAAAATTCACCCCGTGTGTTAAAAATCTATACTTTATGACAGTACAAAAATATTTTCGTGATCAAAAAAATGACAGGATTTACAACGAACGTTTTTTACTCCGTGAAAATTTGCTTCTTCCCCCTATCGCCTCCCCTACAAAATGCAATGACGAACAAAAATTTAAAGACAGCCTTTTTAACTCAACATAGCAGCTTAACTTCACACTGATACCCTGCCCCGTAAAATCCTAGAATCGGTGCCAAATGACAACCTTAGCATGGGGGAGGTTAAAATACTGCGTGGAAGTATTTTAGTTTTGCTTTAACTAAGCATTTTAGTTAAAGCTCGCTGCCTAACACTATAACAGGTCCTAAAATCGGTGCCAAATGGCTACCTTAGTATAATGAATGTTAATCTTAAAACCCCTTAGCTGCGGCGATGCATATCAGTTTACCAAGTTTGCCGTTAACCTTTTGCCTGCTGACTATCCCTATAAAAATCCTAGAATCAGTGACAAATGACTACTCTAGCATGACCCTAAGGTGAAACATAGTTACTTTAACCTTCTCCCTGCTACCTAACTCCATGCTCAAACCAATACGCCTAGAATCAGCGCCAAATGGCAACTTTAGCTAGCCTGGTTACCAAACCTATTATAGCTCCCGAGTCCTACATTCTAGTTGCAAATATTTGCGGAGAGGATGTAGGGCTTGGGAGCTATAATAGGTCTGGGTTACCAGGCTTCTAGAATATTTTAGCATGGAGCAGGTTAAACCCTGCATGGAAGCATTTCAGTCGAAACGTGTGCTTAAGCCTTTGCCTATTTCCTAACCCTATAACAAATCCTAGAGTCAGTGTCAAATGGCTCGCCTGGGTGCCATCCTATTTGTATACCGGGGCCCTCATACATTGTACGCTATTTGGGAGTGAGTATGGGAACCCCAGCATACAACTAGGATTGCAGCCAGGCTACCAAATGGCTACCACAGCATGACGAAGGCTAAAACCCATCGGGGAAGCCGCCCTTGAGGGAGTCACAGGCGGCTGTAATGGCGGACCCGATCTTTGCCACGGCCTGGACAATCGCCGAGCCAACAGGGGTGGTCCCTGGGTTGATCTCGTGACCTTTCTGACGGAGTCCGTCCAGGACGGCCTGAAACGAACGAACGGGTATATATAGACTGGTTTATTGTTGATAAACAAATAAATCCCAGGACCCACTGGCAGCCGAGATGCATTCGGCTGAATTGTTGGGTCTGGTTACAAAATACAACATTATTACGATTACAAATGGGCTGTACAGCTGTTTACACACATAGGGATAAAATTTAACAATTGTTTAAAATCTTAAATACACCATACTATTATTACAAATATTGAAATGTCTTAAAAGAGTATT